TTAATTAGATCTTGTTTTTCGTTTCTAAGGTTGTAGAGTTCTTCATTTAAAAGTTTGTAATTATTTTTCATCGTTTCACAGTGATCACAAAACAAAATTTGTCTTGAATCTCTGGTTACTGAATAAGTAACTGGAGGTTCTACATAATGCTTAAGAGAGTTTGATATATAAAAATTCATGCCTAAATGCATTCTTGCTATTGTTAAAGCTTGTTGATAATCATTAAATCATTTACATAATGGGTCAATAAACCCTTGTATGGCTTCAACGACTTCTATCCATGTGTGGAAGAAACCTGTCTTCCTTCCCTTCAAAACAACATAAAACTTAAAACGGTTGTGAGTCTAGTTAAAAATGTTCTGATAAAGCATTTAAACATGCAATAAAATTGTTTCTGTCTTTAGGATCCCATCCATTAGCTATCCATAAATTATCTAATAAACATTTTTCTTCTTTACTAAGAGAAACACGTGGTAAAGCTTTGAAAGAAATATTACTATCTGGAAAAACTTGTAAAGTTTGATTACCAAATCTAATATTATCATAATAATATTTGTTTGAAGATTGTATTTGTCTTGCTGCAAAAGAATTTACTGATGGAATTCCTTTTGGCCTTACCATACCACGAAATGGTGGATGACCTTGAGGATTACCTGAATTGGATCTAGACATCTGAGATGGAAAAAACATTAAACATTATTAATTTTATATAAATTTATTTTCTAATAATCTACTTAAAATATCAGCCGCTTTATTATCTTTTCCTTTAATGTGTTCTATATGAATAGTTAATCCAGTGTTGTTTATTCGATCTAAGAAATTTAATCATCCCCTTCTACTACTTCTTTTACTGTCTCCATTCATTTTATTGTAAAAAGAAACAATAGCTTCACAATCAGTTCTAATAGTTATTTCTTTTTTAGAAATGATAAATAATTCAAAACTGTCTAATGCATAATTGATGGCAAGTAGTTCTGCATCTATGCTACTAATATTGCATTTTTCTTTATATTTACCACTATTATATCTACAATTTCTTTCCAAACTTTTTTCACTAAATTTATTTGGTTTACAACAAAGAATTGCTCCCCAACCTTGACTACATCCATCTATTTCTATTATCAAATAATCTGTATCTAATGGAAGTGCTAATTCTGGGAGGTTTTTTATTTTTTCTTTTAATATTTGTACTAATTTTATATCTTCTTGATTAAAATATCTTTGACCTATAATAGATTTTTTAGAATATAAAGGTCCAACTATTTTTCCTAAATCTTTAATAAATGGTCTAGCATAGTTTATTAAACCTAAAAATTTTTGTAAGGATTTTAAATATTCTAACTTACCAGGAAAATCTAAAGCCTTTTCGGCTATATGAGGTTGTAATTTTATCTTTCCTTCTCCTATGTTAAATCCTAAAAAATCAGTATAGTTTTTAAAAAGTTGCATCTTCTTTTTACTTATGATCAAACCATGTTTAATAAATTCTGAGAATATGATTTGCAAGTGTCCTCTATGTTCTTGTCTATTTTTACTAAATACTAAAATATCATCTATATATACTGTTAGGATGTAAATCCTTGAAAAGATCGTTTAGATTCAAAACAAGTAAAAGAAAGAACACAACGATTATTCAAATAATGCTGAATGATTGAGTGTCACGCCTCAGAAGAACTCGACTTAGAATTGCTACTGTAGAGGCGTGATTAGGGTTACAATAATAATCAAAGCGTTAATGAATTACGGTGCATGCATGCACTATAAGTACTCTAACCCTAATAATAACTACCGGACGGACATGCTCATTCCGTTTTGCAAAACATACACTATACAAGGCCCATAAGACGCAACACCTATACCCAACAATCTCCCCATTTGCGTCGATTGAGGCGAGAGGTCTTCAAGGCTTAGTTCGCTTCTGCACTTTGTATACTTTTGGAATGACACTCAGCAGAGTCTTGCGTACTTGAATATACCATAAAATCATGTTAGAGAAGCATTTCAAATCTCCATTGCGGTTTCCTTTGAATTTTGTGATCAGGTCCAGAATAAATTCAAGACAAGAAGTAGTATATAAGTATTTATTAGGAAGATGGAAACAAGCCTTGTGAAAAGGTGCATCACTTCGTTCTTTTGCCTGAAAAACCACATGCCAACCTTCTTTGTATATCTTTCCCAACTTCAACTTCTCAAACCCTTCAGGGGATTCTGTCGGGAGAACCGAAGGCTTCCTTCGCAGCACAAAAGCAATCTCTACATCCATATTCCCAATTTCTTGAATGTAGGCAACAATCATGTTCTTGAGATGGGCAATGATGGGCTCATACTTCTTTCTGTCTCTCAGCAACAGATTGTAAACATAGTCTAGTCGTATGGATTAAGACAATGTAGATCTCCAAGAGTGAATTCAAAGACTTGACTAGCAGATCCTCTCACAAACTTGAACTTCGCATTTGGAAAGAAGTCAGTCTCGATCGGACCTGTGACCTTCACTGCAGTTATCTTGCTTATACTCCATGTTTCAAACTGAGGCTTTATGTGTTTGAGATAAAATGAGAAGATAAGTCAGTCAGCACTGCTATCAGTGGATGGGACATTCGCAAACTTAACAAAGGAGCAAAACTTGAAAGCCTTTGGAGTGATTGGAAGATCCAGTTGCGAATCTTGTGTGTTCTGAAGCTCGAACGACACAACCGGTTCTATCCAATACTGAATTGGTAGTTCAACTGCTTCTCTTTGGATTCGCTTCATCGTCCACTTAGGAAACAAAAGCTTCCTGCTTTCAAGAGCGATTTGAGCATCCTTTTCAGCCTTTTCTCTCTCTTCAGCCTCTCGAACTATTATTTCATGTTCGTCCAACCCAGCTTCACAAGCCTTTCGCTTTTTAAGCTCATTTGCATCCCGTTCTTCATCCTCACTGCCGTCGACGATAGGCTCATCGCTAAAAAGTTTTTCCTTACCCTTAGGTTCAGGTTTAGGATCACCCTGCTTGGTTTGTGACTTCTTGGTCTGAGACTGGCCTTCTCCCCCTTGTTTCGGAATGACAGGAGTCGCCGAAACACCCTCAATCCTGCTTAACATAGCAATAGCAGGGTGAAACTTATCAGCGAGATGTATGCGAATAGAGATGGCACTGCTAGAAAAACAGCCTTTTACGATGCGCAATGCGTGTCGTAAAACGCTCAGACGAGCGCAAATGTGCGTCAAGGAAGGCCATGTCATAACGAGAGACGACACGCTTTTGTGCGTTGTCTATAGACGACGCGCATTTACGACGCGCATTTATGACACGCAATACGTATCATTAATACCCCTGTCAAGAAAGGCCATGTCATAAAAGAAGATGACACACATTTTTGAGTATCGTAAATTTTAATGTTTAAAAACATATATTTATATATTTATTAATTTTAAAATTAAATTTGCATTTAATGTCTCATAATAGAAATAAAATACCATATACAAAACATACAATCCATTGCATAAAATTTAATGTCATACAATTGTATTTCTTACAATATATAAATTTGCATTCATCTAATCTACTATGTTAATTTCATACAAAAAATCTATTTCATGCGGCTTCTTCCATTTCCTTTATTAGCAGCTTCCATCATTAGTAATACAACTAACAATTGAAATGAAGAATGCAACACTTGTATATCTACAAAAAAAACTTGAAAAAAACAACAAAGATTTAATGTTTATATATAGCAAGAACATATTGAATGCATAAAATAACAAGAGCTAATAGGAAGTCATTTTATGTTCCCTTCTCAGTATGTGATGATTGGGGCTGTTGATTGCAACAATTAAGCATCTGCTTATGATGAAAGTAGATACCATTTTCACAAAAGAGTTTCCTTTATCCAACAAATTGTTAACATGTCTCACTGGTTAATTCGAAAGAAAAAATCTTTATGAAGAAACTGTCTATTGATTAATTTTCTACCCTAAAGTTCAAAATTACATTTCTACCCTAAAGTTCAAATCTAAAAATAAAATAATTCAAAATTACATTTCTCCAATAGGTCCTTTTTTTGTTAGGAAGTTGCAGACATTACCTTTCCACAAATTACATTTTGTGTAGATGTGAATCCAGGTAGCAATTGCAAATCAACACCACTTTCTGCTTCTGATGCAAGCAATAATATGGAGCGTAACCTAAGACAGATGAGGCAGTCATCTGCTCGAAAGCTGAATACATATGTTCTCCCAACACCAACATCACAATAAAACAAATAATAATGACAATAATTTGTGGCATTCATCGTAAAACACAGATGACCTTTCTATCCCACCATTCACATGTTTCATTGTCAATAATGAACAAAGTTACAAAACAATTGGTTGAATTAGAAAAATGTGTAAATCGCAAAGTCAAAAGGACATAAATTACATACTTAGAATAATAGGAAACTCGAGTGTGTAGGCTCAAGAAATTTTGATACATTTTGTGATTCTGTAATGACAACTTCATTGGAAAGCTTAAGATCTGAAAAAAGGCGTTGCTCAATGATTCGGTTGTGTTTTCCCTTCTTATGGTACCATCAGGAGGAGCATGGGTGAATGTGCCCTTCAAAGTTTCTGTTTCCAACAAGCACAGCTGCAGCAACAATATTTGCACACCGTTAAGTCTTGGGGTAAACTACAGAGCTTCAAATAAATGATCATAGCACCAAAAGATATTAAGTTTCAGGACTCAGTTTTGAACACATGAAAGAAGACTCATAAGGATGCTAAAGAGTTGGATAGAGTACTAACCATCAGAAGTAGAAAAGTCTGCAAGTATTTGAACCATAGCTGGACGAGCTGAGTTTTGTGCAGACAAGTGAAGAAATAGTTCTTCCATCATCTATGGAAGTAAGTCAGCGTTCAGATTAATGAGAACGTGGTAATAAGAAATGAAGGAAAAGGAACATACAACATAGAGCTGCTTCGTGATCTTCATAGTAGCCTCCATATTCTCCAAATCTCTTGGTGATAGTCGTAGTCTCCTCATGAAACTAGACACCGGAGATGTCGCTCTCTGTCGGAGAGGAGGGACTCCACCGGCTGGGTGTCGCTGGAGAGGAAGGGATCCACCGGTTGGGTGTCGCTGGAAAGCGCTGGATGGCGAGGCGGGGCTGGACGGAGGTCAAAAGTGGGAGGCATCGGCGCTAAGAGAAACGTCGGAGGTAGGAGAAGCTGTCGACGTCGAGAACTTAGAAGAAGAGAAAGGGTTTTGTCGAAGTGAGAAAGAGAGAAAGGGAAATTGAAGAGAGAACGTGCAGTAGAGGAAGGAGGTCGGGGCAAGTTCTTGACACAAAGCCCTAAAAAAGGAAGGCGAGGTTTTTAAGTTTTTGGGATTTCATTTTTCCCTCCGGATTGAATGCGTCTGCTACTAAAATTTATAAAGCGACAGCCTTAGACGACACACATTGTATTATAGGTGCCCTCCGTGTTTTTTTTAAACACTAATTTTAGGGCACGAAAAAATGCGTGTCCTAAATCCTTTAATTTTTAAGAGAGATGACATTATTTTTACGTCACACACTTTTGCGTATCGTAAATTCGTGTGTGTCATAAATTGCGCATCGTAAAAGGTTGTTTTTCTAGTAGTGTGGTGAGAATCGGGTCATGGGAATCAAGAATGTTGGAGAGCAAAGCGTTCACATCCCCAATACAACTTTTGACCACAACAAGCTCAGATTGAAGTTCGTTTATTTCTTTATTGGCTTGAGCAAGTTTGGTTTGAGTGACCTTCACAGTAGTAGTATAAGCAGGGAGTTGATCCATGATATTATTTTTAGTTGCAAGAGCCTCCGAAAGCTGTGTCATCCTCGCAGAGAGACAGACTTTGAAGGCCTCATTGTCTTTCTGTAACCCTACATGAACCAGATTAAGTGCTTCTTTCTCCTTGTGCAAAGTAGTGTTGAGACTTGGGATCGCCGCATTCTCTTTTGACGTGTTTGTCTCAGCAGACGTCTGAAAACTGGTCATGAAGGCCTTCACATCAGAGAAGAGCGTCTCCATCTTAGTAGCCATTTCACTATACAAGGCAGCTGAGTCGGAAACAACTTTATTTTCCTTCTCCAAGTTGATCTGATGTTCCTTGGTGAGAGATTGGAAAAAGGCTTCAACAGCAGCCTTTGAGTAAGCGTCCGAAGAAGAATCTCGGGAAGAGTTAATCATGGAATCAAGCTTGTCAGTGATGAGCTTGAATTGGCATTGAGTGACTGGAGCTTCATCATCACTTTCAGTCCGAATGTTACGCAAGAGAGGGAAATTTGAAACGACGATTGATCGATTTCCTTTGAAACGGCGCCTGAAAAAGCGGGATTTGACAGCTGTAGCCCCGATAAAGGTGTCAGGCGGCGTGATAATTGCAAGCGTTTCAAATTCCACGCGCCTAAATTTCGAAATTTTATCCACCACAAGCCGCATCATCAATTATCTTGTTCCCAACCTTTCAATTTTCAATCTTTTCATTAAACTCTCATACATCCTTTCGCATTTGAGACACAAGGTAACTTGTGTGTATAAAAACAAGCATTATTGAATCTGTGAAACTGAAAATGTTATAAGTACCTCGAACAAGACTTTAGGAAAATCAGAGAGTCTTTTGTGCAAGAGTGTGCCAAAGAAAAATAAATAAAGCAAGATATATCTGTAGGATTTTAGTGTTGTCATTAAAGATATGAAGCTATAGATCCCAGACAACGATCTCTTCCTTCAAAGTCAAGAGAGACTGAGAAGTGTTTGTGTGGTGTCCCGTTGAAGTACGATCAATTGTTTGTTAAGAAACACTGAAAAGCATCTTTTAATAAGGCTTTAAGGGTGGCTTGAACTTCAACCAAACTACAGAACTTGATATAAGTACGAAAGTTTAGTGGAAGTACTCGTGTGACCAGTGTAGTTAATTGAACGAGTAGCTTTGGAACTCATTGAGTAACTTGGATAAATTTAGAAATCTCAAAAAAAAATGGATCTATTGGGAAGAAATGTCTTAGGTCTAGAGCATTTCATTAAGATCTCGCATAATAAAAAGAGATTCCTTGGTACAAACCACGAAAGTGGACTTCGTTAATTCCTTGGTGAAAGATCTAGAACATTTAATTGTTCACCGTCAATTCATGAAAGTGTGTTGGAATTGGGTCTCACTTAGCTCGTGGTAGTACGAAACTAAGATCATTAACAAAGATTTGGTGCAACCATAAACCTCAGTGGTAGTATCTGAGAGTCTCAAGGGTTGCGATCATGGATGCGAAAGTGATGGAGAAAAATAGAGATGGTTCAAGAAGAACAAATGTACCTCTGCTATATGAAAATGACCAAACAGACAACTCTTAACTCGAGATGAGAAGAGTAAGGTAGCTCATGACTTATGTGACTTCGCAGCCTAATTGGGAAGAAACGATTGGTAGAATCGATTAATTAATCTGTCGGTGAGGCTTAGGACAACATGCAGCAGCATGCTTCTAGGGACACTTAGCTAATTCATAGATAAATAAATTTATACCTGCCCCATCACACGAATTGAGAGATATTATGAACATGTTCCTCCATAATCTGTGTACGTGTCTAAGATATTTTTAGTGTTTTTATGATTTATAAAAATAAAAAAAAGAAAAAGAAAAACAAATAAAATAATTTTGCAACTTTGAAATTTTCTGAAAGGGAAATAAAAAGAGAGGAAAAATATTTTTGAAACAATATAATTTAAAAAAAATGACCTCAAAGGAAGACAAGCATTCGCAAAAAAAAATGATGCGAGTTAGGGCGAACGTTCGTGTCAGTTCGTGTCCCGGAAAAATCGGAAACGAATTAGCGCGAGCATTCGTGCCAATTCGCATGACAAGAATAAAAATGAAAGTGAGCATTTAGTTAAAAAAAATTGATGCGAATTAAGGCGAACGTTCGTGTCAATTCGTGTCCCGGAAAAATCGGAAACGAATTAGTGCGAGCGCTCGTGCCAATTCGCATGACAAGAATAAAAACGAAAGTGAGCATTTAGTTAAAAACAAAAGTGGTACTGAGAGAGCAAAAGAGGTTTTGGAACTGATTCAGCTTCCATCATTCTTAGGCCTTGGAGAATTCGGTTGAATGAAGGTTCAGGTAAGGCTTTTGTAAATATGTCAGCCAACTGATCAGAGGATCTCACGAAGTCAATTTCAACGTTACCGTCTTCTACGTGATTCTTAATGAAATGATACCTCAGTGCTATGTGTTTCGTCTTTGAGTGTTGCACTGGGTTGTGACAAATTCGAATGGCACTTTCGGAGTCACAATATAGTGGGATTTGTTTCATGCTTAAGCCATAATCACGAAGTTGGCTTTGAATCCAAATGACTTGGTATGTACATGAGGAAGCAGCTATATATTCAGCTTCAGCTGTTGACAAGGATACACACGTTTGCTTCTTGAATTGCCAAATGACAAGTTTGCCATCGAGAAATTGGCATCCTCCAGTTGTGCTTTTTCTATCTAATCCACATCCCCCAAGGTCGGCATCCGAAAACGCTTGTACAAAGAAGCCTGATTTCACAGGATACCATATGCCAAGTGATGAGGTTCGTTTCAAGTATCTGAAGATATTCTTGACGGCCACCATATGAGGTTCGCGAGGATTTGCTTGGAACCTAGCACAATAACAAACGGAAAACATAATATCTGGTCTACTAGTTGTTAGATACATCAATGATCCTATCATTTGACGATAAAGGGTCATATCAGCAGCTGGTTTTTCCAGAGATGGTGTCAATTTCGTTCCGAATGCCATTGGAACCTTCACTTTAGAGTCTCCCACCATGCAAAACTTAGTGAGTAAAGTCTTCGTATATGATTCCTGATTTATGAAAATACCTTCTAGTCCCTGTCTTATATTCAATCCAAGGAAAAAGTTAATTGGACCCATGGAGCTCATCTCAAATTTAGTTTCCATCAACTTTCGGAATTCAGCTGTTAGGCTGGGATTCGTAGAACCGAAAATGATGTCATCAACATAAATTTGGATGATCATCAAGTGGTCACCCTCTTTCTTGCGAAAGAAGGTTGGGTCAACCGAACCTTGTTTAAATTTGGACATTTTAAGGAAACGAGTGAGAGTTTCATACCAGGCCCTTGGAGCTTGCTTCAGACCATAGACTGCCTTGTCTAAGATGTAGCAGTGATTGGGATACTTCTCATTTACTAACCCAGGTGGTTGTTCCACGTATACAGTCTCTTCTAATTCTTCGTTCAAGAAAGCATATTTAACGTCCATCTGAAATACCTCGAAGTTCTTGTGCGCTGCGTATGCCAAGAAGATGCGAACAGACTCCAACCTTGCAACAGGTGCGAAGGTTTCTTCGTAGTCGATGCCTTCTTCCTGACAATACACCTTAACCATAAGTCTCACCTTGTTTCTTATAAAATTCCCTTCTTTATCCATTTTGTTGCGAAACACCCACTTTAAACCTACGACCGATGCATCTGGTGGAGTTGGAATTAGCCTCCAAACTTTGTTTCATTCAAACTCATTGAGTTCGTCTTGCATCGCTTGCACCCAATCAGAATGATCGAGAGCACAATTAACCGTTTTGGGTTATATTTTGGAAACGAATGAGTTAAACATACAAATTTCCACTTTCGAGAATAATGCAGTTTGTTTCGCTTTTTGCTGAGATCTCGTAAGGACTCTTGCAGAAGATTCGCCGATTACTTGGGTTCTTGGGTGATCTCTGGTCCCTTTGGTTAGTGGAGGATAGTCTAGATCATAGGAGGGATCCAATTCAGCATTTACTTCTTCGAATTTTGATTGAACGTCTGAATCATCATTTACATCCTTATTCTCCCCCTCGAATGACGAAAGGTCCTCTTTTTCAAGAATTGAAGTATCTCCTGTGAATGGAGGTTCATGAGTCATTGTGGGAGGTGAGTCATTTGTATCAGAGGGTGGGTCAGAAGAAAGAGTCGAAGTGTAACCCTCCCCCTGCGATGGAATGTTTGTATCTTGTGGTGTGGATTCCCCCTGAGGACTTGCATTGGAGTCAGAATTCTCCCCCTGGAATGTAGTATTCGTGGTTTGAGGGATGTTCACACTTGTTGGCTGTTGTGGCAAATCCTTCGCAACATCATCAATTATCTTCTTCAATTCGTCCTCTTTGTTGTCAGTTGCTTTTGATTCGGATGAAATGGCCTTTCCTGGCTCATCAAAAAGTAACATGAATTCCTCATACATATTGGCTAAAGGAATCGTGGGTGGACATGGCTTAGGAAAGATTTCCTTCGATTGAGT